TCATCGTCGTCCTTGTTCGCCATTTTCTCCCTCCCCTCGCCCTCTTCATCCTCGTCCGCCACCCAAAACTGACTGGCTTTCTCTCCGTCTCTTCCTTCACCCCTTCCCCCTCTACCAACCCCCATCCTGCAGTCGTACCTAGGCCAGCGAAAACATCCATCAAGAACACGAGACCCTCCGCCGGCCAAAGCAAACATAACATCCAAGACTACCCTCCTCAGGATGCATGAGAACATCCAACTAGCACGAAGAACACCAGGGTTCTTATCCTCCCCGAACCGACCTCGATTTTATACCTCGGTCCAACTGTGCTCCCCAAGGGCTGGGACTGGGGCCCAAGCCCGCTCCCCAGCCGCTGCACAAAAAACACCACCACCACCATTTCAAGACGATAGACCAAACAAGGAACCCTGACTTTTGGGGAGGGGCCTAGAGGGCCAGGAACATTAAGGATAGGGGGTCTGTTCTGCAGGTGCATCGAACCGCACCGCCCAGAGATAGGTTCCCTAATGCGAAGACGGGGACCTCAATGAGACTACCTTTTCATCGCGTTTTGAGGGTTAGGCGTTCTCTGATCCTCAATGACCAGTGGCTGGGAACAATTACCCTGGTGGTGCGGTCTCGCTGCTGTGCGGCGTCCCCCCCGCTACGTCTCCGATCTCCAGCTCGGGGCAGCGCCGCGGAGCTCCTGTCTGAAAGGGTGGAGGGAGGGCCCCACTCTTGCTGCCGCGCCGCTGCCTACGCACATGTGCAGAACCCACGCGTTCAGCGCTTGATCGCGGCCAGTCCCTCAAGACCCTGGGCTGGTGTCGCTGTCTCTTGCTCGGAGCTTGCTGTGGCCCCCCCTGCGCGGCCAACAGCCTCGGGTCCCTCCCTCCTCTCTCGGGCCACGAAAGGGGAGCACAGCAAAGGGTGGGTTAGCGAATCGACTCACGTCGCTGACTTCTCCGCAACCTCCCAGCACCGGTGCCGCCAATGCACCAAAGAACGCAACCGGCGGCGAGGCCGAAACCAAGTGCAGATTGCGGCTGCCTCATTCCCCGATGGGGTTCAAGCGAATTTACTTGCATGGATGAAAGGGGGCGTGGCGAGATCCCAAAGGGATGGTGGACTTTAAGCAACTGGGGGTTCACTTGCACGCATTTCCGGCACCGTACTGTCTGTTTGAGAAGGCGGCGGAAAGGGGGGGAGGCGGGGGGCAGGGGCGGGGCGAAATGCCATGCAAAGAAACTTGCCCGAGTCTTCAAAACAACGCCCTCGATCCTCTCCCCCGTCGTCCGACCCGACCCTCTCGCTCCACGGACCCACCGACGCAACGCCCGTGCCTCACAACGTGGGCCTCATATGGGACCTCTCGACCCGATCCGCGGGGACCACTCTTTGCCAACCCCAAGCCGTTCTCGGGGCGCGTTTCCTCCAGCATTTCGGGTCCGTCCATTCGGGGTCCTCAAACTGTGTGGCCGCAGACTGTGCGGTGACGTCGGGAAACCTCGAAAAGACCCCACCGCAGGGTCCGCCAACGATGCTGGGACCTGGAAGGCCCCAAACGCCCGGGACATCCTGGGAGAACGGCCCGAGTTCCCAAACCGCGCGGCCACCCCAAATCCCCACTGACTCACCACACCGTGTGGTCACCGCACAGCATGGGGGCCCCTGACACCTGGCCCCCCTCTCAGCCCGTCGCGCCGCTATACTCCGCCCCGCAAGCCCCCCAAGCCTTGCCTATGCCTCACGCCCTGGGTCCCGCGGGTCGACCCCGCCCCTGGAGAGTCTTGTTGCACTCTCAGGGCCTACCTGGCGCACGCTCCTGCCCAAATCTCGACGTAAATGAAAACAACGATTACCACGACCAAAACGGAACGCGGACACATCGGCGTCGATGCCGGTATTTGTTATCGTCCGCGTTGGTCATCGTCGATCCGTGGATCGGCGGCGGCTGGCGCGGACTATGAGACTATGACCAGGATGGACGGCGACAAGATCCTGCAACGTCTTTGCCATGGTCACCGTGCACATCTTGGTCATGGTCATCGTCATCCCGGTCACGGTCCTGGCCACAACGGCGCCCCTGGACCCCGCCCCCCAAACAGAAAAAGGCGACGCGGTAGGTTCGTACGGCGTCGGCGCGCGCATAGGTTTTCGACACCGCGCCGACCGTTCAACCTTGAACCGATCGCGGCACTGATCGCTCAAGGTTGAAATGCGTCGGGCCCAGCAACCCCACGCCCCTGAGAAGAACATCCGGGGGATAGTAAAGTTCGGGATCTCGGGGGGATATATGAGGAATGTATGACGAGTACAGAGGAGGTCTTCGTCGTCGTCGCGCGAGGACGGCGACGACGTCGATGACGACGACGTCTACGACGACGAAGATGTTTCCCGCAGTCTTTGTCGTGAAAGGCCTAAAGCCTACCCGCGCCTCTCTCGCGAACAATCTCGAGGCACTCGCCCATGCAGGCTCGGCCCCCCTTAGAACCGTCCTTGACGGGCAAGCAGTTGGTGCACGCCTGGGCTGCTGCGAGAGCCTCCTCGAAGGTCTCGTGTTTGGGCTCGTGCGCGGTCGGGTCTTTCGGCGGCTGGGCCTTGCCTTTGATCTTGGCCTGGGCCTTGACATAAGAAGATAGCAACTTCGATTCGTAACTCTCCCCCGAAAGAAAACCAGTTCGGCCTTGCCGTCCCTCTCCCCGACCAACTCTGTCTTGGCCGGGGAGAATCAACTCTCAGGGGGGTGAAGGGGGTATGACTTCGTATCCGGGGCTCGCGGTCAGCGTTGCCGTGTCCCTCGGCGCTTCCGCGTCGCAGAATTCAGCATTCAGCGCCTTCGCCGGCGTCGCCGGCGCGCCAACGCCGCACGAGACTACCGTAGACACGTCGATCGACACCGCC